CCCCTCTCCCCCTCCCACTCCCCTCCCCTCCTCCCTCCCTCTGGCAAACACAACATGCGCACTGCTGCACTAATTAAGACTTTATTTTGGGCGTAGCTTAGTAAGTCTGCCCTCCGATATGTAACACAATGGGGTGGAGGGGACAAAGAGAGAGATAGACAGATTAGAAAAATACACATTCTTTTATGTGAGCAGAGAGAGAGAGAGAGAGAGAGAGAGAGAGAGAGAGAGAGAGAGAGAGAGAGAGAGAGGGAATACTACCATCTCTTTTCCACACCTTTCCACCCCCGGGGACAGAAGACAAAGGAAAAGTAAGTAAAATAAGATCGATGGCGTTCTCAAATGGGCCTCTCAGTCTTCTATATAAATAGATATTATATTTAGTCTTCTACACAAATTCAGTCTTCTACTTGAATACATGTACATGAATTCATTTTTCTACATAAATTCATTTTTCTACATAAATTGAATTCATTTTGTTTACCTTAATTTAGTCTTCTACATAAATACAGAAATTAATTTTCTAGATAAAATACACATTTTATTCAGTCTTCTACATAAATAAATAAATTCATTTTTTCTACCTAAATTCTGTCTTCTACATTTATACATAATACTATATTCAGTCTTTTAGAACAATTTAAGTCTTCTACATAAATCCTGTCTATTCCATTTTTATCCCTGCTGTCGAGCTCTCGAATCAATGGCGGTGATGATCAAAAGAGCAACACACCTGACCCGTGACCAACAATTACAACTGGTCGCTACCCCGAAAGATGCTGTTTTCAGAAAATTGAAGGAAAAGTGTTGGACCTTTGTTCGATTTCTTTAAAAGACAAGGAGAGTTTTCTCTATAACCAAACAATTAATAAACATATCAATGAAACCAAATTTATCCCGTAGGTAGGGCAACATCCATTCTTGGTGTAGGTCAAGATTTCTGGAAACCCCCCGAAATCTGGGTCAGCCCGCTTGTCCTTAAAAGCGACCAACTCTTCTCCACACCTTTCCATCACGGTGGACTGAAGGAAAAGGAAGTGGGTGGTTGGCGAGTGTCCTTGTGTGGTTTGCTCCTTCTTTCCTATCAAACTCTGCTATCATCTTTATCTCCCTTCCTCTTTTTTTTGAGTTTGTAACCTCTAATCTTCGGCGCTTATATGACCTAATTGTTTGCAAGTGCCGTAAAACTCTTACGAAAAAAAAAGAAAAAGGAAAATTAAGTAGAATAAGATCGATTGCACTCCGAAATGGACCTTGTCCGTGTGAGAATGTTAGAACAAAGAGATAAAGGCTGGGAGTGAGTAAATGGATGGATAATTTGTGATTGCTGGAGTGGATCAGTGAGTGAGTATGTGTGTGAGAGGTAGAGTTGAAGTAGAGAAGGGGGGGAGACACAGAGAGTGAGTGAGAGAGAGAGAGAGAG